CACGGCTCCCTAACTGTCATGCAGGGAAGCCAGAACTATGCTTGCAAACCTTATCTCACAGAAATAAAGGCAAAGGTTTACAAAACTAACACATCCAAGGAGCATCACCTAATAGAATGCTCAGCCTACAGATGGTGAGGCTCCAACTCCGGTCTGCTGAGCCTCACGCATTTCAGAAGGGACCCGCCGGATGCTAAATGCGTTAGAACCCAAATACTGCCTTGCTGCTGCGGTCCCCCCACCCCCAAAAAAAATCCCATTGCTGTCAAACTGATTCCGACTCATAGTAACCTTATAGGACAGAGTGGAACCGCCCCATAGGGTTCCCAAGGAGCGACTGGTGGATTTGAACTGCTGACCTTTTGGTTAGCAGCCCAGCTCTTAACCGCTGCACAAAAAGTGGCTGGTATACCGTTAATCCAATAGTAATGAAAACGTTTTTAAAGAGTGCACCTGGACACTCGGCTCAGTTTCCCTGGAGCCTGTCTCTTCTGTCGTGCTCTAGCGCATTCGCTCGGCGAGGCCGGCTTTCAGCGTGTGCTCCTGTGTTGTTTCCCCGACAGAATAACATGCGCAAGCACTCAGAGAAGTGTGACTCGGGGCAAGAAAAGTTGGCCACCTCCGGAAAAGGAAGAAGGACGAAAAAGAGGAAGCAGACGGGCCCAAGAAAGGCAGTGAAGGAAGACGGTACCTTTTTTTTAGTGAATTTGTTTTTAATGTGACGGTGGTTTCCCTGTTATGAATTTCCCTGGGTTCTGTCTGAAAGCCCCCAGGCAGGGGATGCCCCCAGAAACCCTCCTGGTGCCCCCTCCGTCCAGGGAGGCAGCTCCAGGGCCCGTCCTGGCCTTCGGCCAGCTCTGCTTCCTGTCACTGTGGGCAGGGTTGGGCGGCACTTTCTGCCTGGTTGGATTGTATCGGTGACGTGGGATAGTCATTTGCCCACCTCGCTGTGGTCGTTGTGAGACACATTCGCGAGGCTGTGCGACAGGCAGGCGCCCACGGCCTCCACTCTGCAGTCTCTGCAGTCGGCTGGCAGAGGCGCCGCTGGGCGTCACAGGTGGTATCCCCAGGCCCCAGGGAGCAGATGCCAGTTCCCAGCTAAGCGACAGGTGGTCATCTCCTCTCTACTCGGTAAACGGTCACGCTCGAAGAGGCGCCCTAAAAGCCAACCCTATGGCCATCGAGTC